ACACAAAGAGTTGCCAGGGACAGCAGCTCACAGTTCACAGTTATAGATGTTATGCGATGAACGATGAGGTCAACCCAAGAGCCTGCCAATCATGACTCACAAGGGCATAGCCCGCTCTGCAGGAAGTGAAATCCCCGCGTGTGGCTGGGCCTGCTGCTGGCACCTTTTGAGATTCAGTTGAGAAGTTGATTGTGTGTCCTGATGTGCAAAGGTTTTGAAGGGTGAGAGGTTGATGTAATTTGGCTTTTAATTTTAAGACCGCTCCTTTGGGGTCAGCCGCTTTGCTTCCCTCTGAAAGACTTGCTGTTGTTCGAGGGAAACGCAGAGCTTTGCCATTCTGCCTTGACAGGCGCCGAAGTGTTGGTCACACCTCGTTCTGGCAGCCCCACTGCTGGTGCCAGGAGCTTGGAGTTGTTCCTTGACCTTCCAGTCGCATGTTGCACGCAAGGTGATGTGGCATGCAGGTCATTCAATGCAGCAGTAAGCGCTTATCTGGCAATGGAATGAATAACTCTTTGCAGATTGCAGATTCAGAGTTTGCAAGTCTTCAATATCTATAGTCCCATATCATTTAAAGCTGTTGCGCCTCAGTTTTCGCCCAAGTGTAGAAATCAATTTCGCCTTGCCCATTGCGCTTGTTGGCCAAGGACATCCAAGAGTCTCCCAAGAGGGCACCGCGAAGCATCCCAGCTAAAGGGAAGGACCATGCCGTCTACTTTTTTGAGCTTCGTTTTGTAAATTCACTAAACTGTTGAATTCTGTGCGCCCACCGGACCCACTTCATTCTCTTTTCAGACAATTTACCCACCACTTCACCCGTGAACTTTGGTCAGCTTCACATATGTTCGCTGAATCCTCGCCTTGGATCTCCCTCATGCTTAGCGATTTCACCGGAGTCAGTGAAGTTTGTTGCCAAGGATGGGAACTTCGGCAAGAATAAGCGCAGGAAGATTGGCGACAATCGCTTTGTCTCACCTCTGTGAAGATGAGAAGACTGCAGAAAGAGAAGCTGGAGCTTGCATCACCTGAAAACAAACAATTTTTCCAAAGTCTGCTTCTTGAATGCAGAAACAGCGTGCTTTGTTCCCGTCATCGTCAACGTACAGAGGCTCACTGTGAAGGAGCTGACACAGACCACGCAGGCGTGGACCAGTGTGGGTAATTCATGTGAAAACGAACGAATCAGCCATCAGGGTCATCAGCAATAACTTGGCAGCAATCAGAGATCTTGCTTGTAAATGAGCTGGAATCTGCTCTTGGATAGGCTTCGGTCCAATGCTGATTGAACGGCTTTGACAGGCCCTAAACCCTGTGAAGGTTGAAGGTCAAGTTGCCGCATGCTCAGAATGCCTTTGATGGTACCAGCGATTCCTTGATAAGCAAGCTGTTGAAAGGTAATCGATGATAGGGAGCATCAGCAGGTGCACACAACATGTTTGCCGAATGCGTAGCGAATGGTTCCCGTTTATCTCTGGGTCTGGGGGCAGAGCTGTGTTCGCATGACTTTGCTTTCAAAAACATCCAACTATCTGGGATTGTTGAGCCTTAGACTCATTTTGAGTCGATCAGTCCAGCCATTGGGCCAATTCCCGTCAAGTTTGATCGACAGGGATGCTTCGTAGAGCATTGCGTTGCTTGAAAGCCACCACAGCAAGCCTGTGTACTTTTGTTTTGAGCACACTCGCTTGACATTGCCCGAGATGGCCAAGAAAGGACGGCAAAAGAATCAGACAATAGGTATCAAGATTGGTATGGTTACGTACCCTGAAAGAGCTCAGTCGCCCCCTGCCAATTTTCGGCTCCACCGGTGCAGTCGCCGTTTGAGTTGTCTTGGCAGAAGTGCCAATGTGAGTGCTTCAGAGCGACCAAATCAGGTGACTTCGCAGTCTTATGACTCCATGGTTGTCCTTCCACACGAGTCCTATAAAAGCATGCAGTCCAGGAGCCTCCTCCAGGAACTGCAGGCCTCTTTTGCTCAGAGCCATATTCAAGTGCCAATCTTGGAGAATGTAGTAGGGCGGCAAAGACCTTCGCAAACTCAAATGCATTTTATGCTGCAAATGTCACTGCTCGCTTGGTGAGTAAAGCCCAGAAAGTGCGAGGAAAGCTTGACCACATTCGCCAGCAGCGGAACATTTTCCAAGTGTTTCCATGATGTATATTCTTTCGAGCAGGCAAAGCTCCGAAAGCATGGGAAGGACCTCATTGATGATTGATGGTTTGACACACGTCGTAGAGCAGCAGAAGAAGACTCAGTCCCAATTGGTAACTCTAACCATGGCAAGAGAGCGGCAGATCCAAAGCGTTGAGGAAGAAGCATCCCGACCGCTTTATACTACGAGCGCAAGGCTGCCGCCATGGATCACTGACCTCACTTCGCGCCTCCCGTCGGGGTGTTGCCCATGGTCATGATGTGGCTGGTGCGGCTCAGGTCACTCCTGACCTCCACTGACAACGGCCTGTTGCCGGCGCAGATGCAAGTGAATTTGGTTTTCGCTCAGATTAGGCAAGCGATGGTCTTTGGCTTGATGCGTCGGGTCTAGAGTGGTGTGTCGTTAGCAAGGACGAGGATGCTACGGACAGAGGCTCTTATCTGCCTTGTCTAAAAAGGATTCAAGTTGCTGACCGAAGATGCTTAACAGATCCCCTTTGCCCCTGTCGGGGGACAGCGCAGTGGGCAAGCTGTTGATGCATCTCGTGAGTTTCTCAAGTGCGTCCCATAAGTTCTGAAGGTTCTGAAGAAGCCACTGTTTGTGAGCCACGACGGGGGGCCTGCATTTTTCGCGATTCAGGGTTGGTCTTCGTGGACGAGCAGACCGTTGCTGCTGCTAAGCGTCAGATTTTGTTTGCGCCGCCAACCAAGAGATCCATATCCTTGTGTGAAGCGCAAGGAGATTCAGGTCGAATAGATCAGCTCAAAAGGGCGAAGTTTCTTTTTCGCCAACTCACAGCTCTTGGCCCGAACGTTCCACAACCTTGGGAACAAGAGCTTACATCCATTGCAAATGCTGGTTTGCAAGACATGCTTGAGAGATTCATGCGTGGCGCGCTAAAAAGGAGCAAGATGCCTGCCAGCTTAGCAATTGACGCCAACGGCTCCTGCGCGCTCCAAACATGTCAGGATTTTTCTGGTACGCAGGCAAGTTTTGGGTTTGTATAGTGTATGCTGTAACGCGAAATTCTGCAAGCCTTGAGGTTGCTTTCCCGCTGGGGTTTTATGCCGCTTGAGTTAGCGCTGCTTTGTTTAGCGCTGACCCAGTGTCCTTGCAGAAGAACAGTGCGTTTCAGGAACGGGCAGCTGACCAGTATTTGGAGAAGCCTTCTAGCCAAAAATTGTTATTTCTTTGCGTGCTCAGTGGTCGTGAGCGGATGGTAGCCCTGAGCGCCTTAATGTGTCGTTTGGAGCCCTCTGCTGGCACAATTTTGAGTTTGCTGGCAATAGACTTGACCAAACCGCGCGACAGCTGTGGTGCTCTCTGGCATGTAGCGGCCAGGTGAGCCCCCCGACCAACAGTTTTTGCGCTGCATGGGTCCAGAATGGAAAAGCCCCAAGGCTTCGATAATGTCATATTGCCAATCGTTGTTTTTCGCGATCAAGTTTTCCCCTGCTCATGTCCCTTTCAAATCGTTTCTTTGTCCTGGAGCATCCCAGTATACTTCAGCTGCCACACGCAGCTCCTGGCTGAGTGGTGCGATGTGTTGCTGGCTGCTCGTCCGAATGTTTGCTGGTTTGATTTCTGGGCCGGAAATTCTGAGGGACCAACTGATACACTGATGTGGGTTTTGCGTGATGGCTTTGCAGTTGGAGAGGGCGATTGGCGCCAGATTTGCGATTTTGGTCACCAGCGTGCCATGTCTGAGACACTATAATCGCCATGGACGACGGTGTTCCGAGAGAAAGCTGCGCAAATGGTCGCTCACTGCCGTGCTGACAAGCGCGATGAGCTGCGAACCTGATCGGCTAAGCCAGCGACCTGCTTGTTTCCGAGGATGGCTTGACCGGCAGTGGTTGAAGTGTCTGAAAAGCCTGGGCCAACTACACGGCATCGTCGAGTTGAGTGTTGCGCGCTAGAATTTACACGCCGCGACGATTATCGGCTTTGTACGCGAGAGGAAAAAACCATTCGCCAACGACCAAATGTGCCATTGGGGGAAGCTTTTGGAGGAGATTTTGGATGGAAGCCTGAAGTGGCAGATTCGTGTGAAATAGCGTGGGAACGTAACATGTTGGAGTGTGGAGGATGATTTTTCTGCGCAGGTGCAGCGTTTTGTGAGATCCTCAGTTCCTTCGCTGTGCCTCTGGAATTACTGTGGTGTGGTGATGTGTGGTCGCAGAAGACGTGAAGAAGATGTAATGTAGCAACGTTTTGTGGCAGGCGCAGTGCTACGTTGCCGGCTGTGGTTTTTGAGGGGCTGGGACAGGAAGCGCTCATTTTGGAGACTTGATGCGCAACTTATGGAGGAGGCCTCGTGCGAAACGCTTGCGATGGAGATTTGACGCACCCCACCAGAATGTCTTGCAAGAGTGTCAACATCATTTGGCCGTTTGTTTTCAAGTGCGTGTGTGCGTTCGGGTTCGCGGGTTCCTTTTGTTTTTTTTGCGCACCTTTGTGGGCAACGATGCGTAACGCGGCTCCGACTCTTGCAGGTGACCTGCCTATCCGTCGACAATTTAGACAGAGCGATGGTCGTGTGATCAATCAATTTCACCGGAGAAGGCTGTACAAATCAGCTGGAGACTCGCACAGCGTTGTATAGGCAACAAAAGTGATGTTTTGCCTGACAGATCCCTGCAGGCCTTAGGCCTTGCATGGCCGTAGCCAATGGCCAAAACATGTCCAAAGGAGCTGTGTAGCCTTTAGGATCCGATCGTTGAGGGCAGCGTTGTTGTTTTGCCCAGCTCGCTTGGGTTTACTATTATCATCAGTTTCTATATATTTATGTTTATTTTATAGTATATTATTGTCATATATTTTTTCGTTATCCTCGCAGCTGTGCAGGATGCTCCAAGCAAGCCGTGGCCTCGTCGAAGCTCTGCGAAGGAGAATCGAAGCAAAGTCAGAGGCCAGGCAAAGTCACAGCACTTTGGACTCTCTATTTTTTGTTGGGTTGCCTTGCATGCGTTCGTTTGCAGAGGCTGCACTGTCCAGATTGCTGGACAAACCCGGTCAACAGATGCAGGCCAACTAAAGCCATTTGTTGGAGAGATTAGTATGGGACAAATCCTGTGCTCGTTTTCTTTCACTCGCACAGCATTGCTTGCTTTGCTCTAGCACTCCGATCAGGCTTTGGGGCCCACCCAGAATGCCGCATTGTGTCGCTTCAAGCCAAGTTCGAGGACACGAGCCACAAACTGAATCTAAAACCGGTATGATTTAGACTTCGGGTCCTGGAAGTCCTAGAAGCACATTCGTGGGCCGCTGGGCCCTGCACTAACATCTTTCTGAGCTGCGGACAACTTCAGACAACCTGAGGAGGCGCACGGCTCCCTTTCTGCTGCTTTTGCGGCGATGGATCTGGAATCTCGAGGGTCGGATAGACGATGTCATGGGCAGAATCATTTGAGACAGGTGCAACTGGTGCAACAGACATCTAAATATATAAGTAGAGAACATGGCATGAAATAGGCTATAGAGATGAAACATTGAAGCACCTTCCAGTTCGCATGTCCACCTGTGATTAATTTATGAAATTGCAACGCTCTTCATGGAATGCACTCAACAATAATAACCACACCCCAAATTATGTAACCCCAAACATTGCTTTAAGTTAGCCGAGTATTGGCCCAGGATGTTCTTGGTTTAGGATTGTGGGAATAGAGAGGCGGGAATGGATGAAAGGAACATGAAACACACTCGGAAAAATTCATTCATATCATATGACAGATTGTGGGAATACGGAGTTGAGAATTGGTGAGTGAAAGGGACATGAAAGGGAATCACAGGAAATATCCCTATTGGAAAGCCTTTAGCTTTATCTAGTGATGAACCTTATTTTGTGCCCCAGCAGCATCTTTGTGGGGAATATCCTTTATCAGTTTTTTGGTATGCTTTATTGGTTTTTCTCTCACAGTATTGATAAGAGACGTTTGCCAAGATTTGTTCGGATTTGGTTGCACTGGTCTCAATCAATGAGGGATTAAAAGAAAAGGGAAAGGAAACGAACGCCCCAAATCTAGGAAGCAAAACCCTCTTGGCTTCATTAGGGCTAGGGAATGCTAGGGATCATTTATGGTATGGAGCCTTCATGGGGGCACCCTTTTCGCAGGTGGATTGCACGCAATAGCTCATAGTTTTGTGATGTTCTGTGAACTTAAGTAAAGCACCATAAGGAATTACCGCCAAAAGTTTTGGGGATGCCGAGTGCCAGGCATGACAATTTTTTATGCGATTGTTTTAAACAGTTTTCGTTTTGTTTGCTTTGCAAATTGGAATCATGGAAGTTGGGGGTGATTCAGAATGGAATCCACACGCATGAAATATCGATACATTGAAACAACGCTCGACCTCTACACACATGCATCAGACATACTAAAACACAGCAAAATTAAAGGACCGGATAACCCCACATATGAATCTTTACGAATCTGAAGGTTCTGAAGCACAAAGCAGTCAGAGGCTCAATAGCTTCTACAACACGGCCTTGTCAGGAAGTGATATCAGCTTCCGACAACAGAGGGGTGGGAGGGAAGGTGTAAGAGAGTGATGTGCACGACGGATGTACGAGGTATTGCGCACACAGGTGTGCGCAGCCACAACTAGCCAAAGTAAAATCCCATCGCTCTGCCGACGCAAAACCCCATAGTCAAACTCTTTTTCATCGCGCAAATGAAATCAGGTCGTGTTGGTGAACCTGGGCGATGGCATGAGCACTACATTCAAAAGACATCATTCTAGGAACAAAATGGGCTGTAAAAGTGAAGACCAAAGACTTTGGATAACTTCGTTTGTCATAGTCAGCACATGATTCGCGCCTTGGAAAGACAGGAGAACTTCATGTACTGCCGTACCTGCACATGGCCGATCTTTCGATAAAAGCAAAGCAGCACTCCGCAAAGCAGACACTTTTGGTTTCTAGGTTTTGAAAGCGCACCGAAACTCCTTTTCTTCATCGCGCAGACGAAAGGGTTAGTCTCTGCAAGAGGATGGCATCTGCTCTGCAAAGCTTTCCAAGCGGGATCGTATCTGCAAGAACATGCTCTATACTCTCTGGCCCTGCTGACCAATGTGACGAAGGGCCACGAGCAGTGGACGAAGAAAGGACAATTGCCCTGGATTTGATGAATGGGATCCACCGCATTCCAATGCACAGGATTGGGTTCTTGCAGACCAGCGTCTCTGCCAAATTTAGAGATGGATCCAGTCTTGAGGAGTGCGTGTGTCAATGCTGAACCTCGTGACAAGAGTGTTCTCATGCAAGTTGCTATGATCTTCAGTAAGCCATTTCTGCTGGAATCTCGTCAGCCCGAGGAGTATCAGAAAATGCCGTCATGGGATCGTAAGATGCAGGTGCGAAGTGGCATCTGCCCGGCAGTGCTTTCCAAATGGGATCGCATCTGCGAGAAGATGCTATGCTCATCTGCGTCACAGGTGCGAAGTGGCATCTGCCCTGCAACGCTTTCCAAATGGGATCGTGTCTGCAAGAGGATGCTATGCTCTCATCTGCGTCACAGGTGCGAAGTGGCATCTGTCCTGCAACGCTTTCCAAATGGGATCGTATCTGCAAGAGGATGCTACGCGCATGTGCGTCACAGATCTGTAACAAGAAGTAGGTGCGAAGTGGCATCTGCCCTGCAGTGCTTTCCAAATGGGATCGTATCTGCAAGAACATGCTATGCGCTTCTGCGTCGCGGGGCTTCGGTGCGAAGTGGCATCTGCCTTGCAGTACTTGGCAGTACTTCGAATGTCGGCAGTCTGGCTCAACTCCTCCGCTCCGACCGCACGACCTACAGGCCGCGCAGGCCTGGCAGCTCCCAAGTACAGCGCTTGCCTCACAGCGCTAACGTCCAGAAAGGTCCACGCGCTCGGCGCCACTCTATGCTCTTGGATCAACGAGTGAAAGTATCGCTGCGCCCACGTGGTCGGCTTGTCATTGAAGAGTCTTTTCGCTGCCCTTTTCCACGCTACCGTCAATGTGCTCGTGGATCATTGCTGCAGGAAGATGCTCATGTGCGCCCAACACGAACATCCCATTGCTCGCGTAGACGCAGAGCGCCATCTCGGCATCGTTCTGCTCTCTTATGGAATTCTGCCACACGAGCGACAATGGACTCAGGAGGGCCCCGCTCCAAAATCTCGCGAGGAGGTGGGCGCAAAAGAAGTAGATCATCGAGAGATGTGACTCTGGAGAACATGACATACAAGTGGAGCCACCAATTGTCGTCATCTAACTCGGGCAAGCGCGCGCAATCAACGATCGTGCCTGTGCGCAGCGTCAAGCCTTAAGAAGCAGTGCTGGTCAAACACTGGGCATGTGTCACTTGAAAACCACAACGGCGAACTTCGTGCTTCTGCGTGCTGGAAAAGAGAACTTTCACTTCAACTGCGGGTAAGAACCAAAAACTTTTCGCCAGCTTGCAAGCCTCTTCATCTGTCTGAACATGCTTACGACACATCTCTTGAAGTTCTTCCCAATCCGGACAGCCTGAATAGCCTTTTACAGAGACCCACAAACCGGAAGGTAGAAAGCGAGGATAAAACATTTCACCAGGGGCGGTTTGGCGGTAAGCTTCTCTGTCAGACTGTGAAACTCAAAATCGATGATCTTAGCCTGGGTATCTTGGACCATACCTGCATCACCATCGAGCTTTGCTAGAAAGCGTATGTCCATGCCGATATGACAAGGAAACATGCCGTGCATGTGTCCTGTCTTGTTGGGATTAGTCATATTCAGAAAGCGAAAAGCTGCGTCTTGTTTGAGGTCACAACATTCATCGGCAGCTTGCAGCATGACCAACGGAACCTGCAACTCTTTAGCATCGAGAACAGCGCGATGCGACAACATGCGCGCCAAAGAACTCCAATAGATGGACATGCAAAATCCGTAGCGAAACTTGTCTTCAAAAAAGCGAGGGTCTGGGACACCAGGCTCGGTGTCTTTTGCATAACGGCCTTGGAATTTCCGCCAAAGAGGCGTTGGCAACTTCTTCCCCTGTCGCATGCACTGCAGTAGGTCGATCAAAGGATCGCCAGACTTGAACCTCATGGTCCCTCGCAGCTCGAAAACATCGGGGATGTTTGCCATCACTTCTTGCGCGTGCTGTACTTCAGGTGCCACTGCCTCGTACTTGAGCTCGCCATCGGTATTCTTTGCATCCAAGTCATCCAGCAAAGACAACTGTGCGGTAGGCCAAAGCTGAAAGAAGTCACCGAGATGCAACACGATAGGAGCGCGACCAAAAGCACAGCCTACTTTGGAGTATGTATGGGGATCGACGTGCCAAGCCACACGACGACCCAACATAGCTCGAAAGTCTAGCATGTTGTACATCATAGCCGAAACCATGCTGATCTCCTCGATGATCAAGACTCGGATGCTGTTCCACAAAGTCTTCAAACGTTTCTCGGCAGTTCCTGCAGTCATGTTGCCGTTTGAAAGACTTTGTACACGCATGCAACTGGCAGCATGCAGCGTCTTGGCAGCGACCTGATCAGTCGAAATGTTCTTTGCTTGTGCATTTTTGGCAGGCTACAACCATCATACTGTCTTCTTCTCCTTCTGCTGGCCAAATGAAAGTAAACCCAACGTAACTACGCGGTAAGCTTCCGAAACGCGGTCGTTTACTGATACGCCTGTCACGGCACCACCGAGCACCGATACAACTCCGTATCCTCTTCAGCGCTCGGCACCACCCGGCCCATCTGCAGGACACCGGTGAATCGCGCCCACGTCGTCGGATTCAAAATCTTCAACAGGCCCTCTCGCTGCAACCAATCCCAACCCTGGCTCGTAAATTCCACCTTCACCACGCAGGGATCTGGCCTCAAGCCATACATGCAGACCAACCGCCAAACCCAGCGAAAGAACATATCCAACTGAAAAAGCCTCATTCTAACAACAAGTGACAATGGTGCATTGGCTTGCTCCCACCAACGGTACCGCTCCAGCGCCAAGGCTTCCGTCGACCGTAAGCTCAGGTGCTCCCGCGCGCCCGGCTGCCAGCACGCGGCCAGCGCGCTTTGCTCACGAGCCTCTAGCGCGACTTCATCTCAAGTTTGTTGTACAGGTCTCAAAAGCACGACGAAACAGCGTCTAGTAGCAAGAAGATAAAGCTGGAAATGATGTTGTCACCGAGTCTGTTTCTTTGCAAGAATTTACGAACTCCAACAAAAGAGTCTGACCACTCCGCGGCCGACCTGCGGCAACAACGCAACGTAGTACGTGCGGGAGGGTGACAAAATCGCCTGAGTCTGCATGGCCGCCATGTCAGCGGCTGATTACAGTCTCCAAATGGGATCCTGTGTTGCTTGAACCACAAAAACAGCTTTGCGCAACATCAAGCTAACCAAAAAATACTAACGCTGGCTGCAA